GGCCATCTGCCCTTCCGGCCTCGGGTATCCGTTGAGATACCCGGGTATCCGCTGGAAAATCAGCGGAAAGGGCACATCCGCACCCGAACCCGCATCCGCTGGCGGGTATCCGCTACAGCGGGCGGGTATCCGCCAGCGGATAACGGATATCCGCAATGGATATCCAGAGACCAGCTCTAGAACATACCTGCCAGTGCCAGCGGATGCGGGTTTGGATGACAATTTCCCCAGAAAAAGCAGCCGGATATCCGGATGCGCCAGGGCCATCTCTATCACATTCTGATACCAGACTCCCTCCCCTCCAAGCCGCTGTCAACCCAACGGAGGTCTCAGTGTCACCCACCTTCACCTTCTCAGCCGACTTGGTTGTTCCTCTTGGAACCGCTGTTTTTGTGCACAGACCTGAGCCCCATGCCTTACCCACTACAATCTCAAAGCCCTCACGCCTGACAAATTGACTTATGGCCATTCACTCTATTGATGCAATTGCAATCTGATCCAAGATTGTCTGAAAGCTCAAGATCCAACTGTGAACTCACCTTTTCAGGATACTTCTACTCAAACTACTACCCATTCATCCACACCCAACACAACAGAATCCCTTCTCAACCCATTTCTAACCAAACCCCAGACAACCTCCCCCCCTCTGCTGCTGCTACTCCCAATTTCCCTGTTGCTGTTCCCTTGACAAACAGAAACACAGTCAAGCTTTGTGGATCACTACCTGTGTCACACATTTCTGATACTTCAGCTATCAATACCTCTGACTATTCCCTTAATAAAGAAGTCAACCACACCAACCATCTTCCACCCAAATTACCTCCATCTAGCACATCATACCCACCAAAACCATTGAAAAACTTGAATGAACCATCTACAGACGCAATCACAATCAGGCTTTGCAGAGCGCCATGGACACCTGTCATCTCTACCATAGAAAATGGGAAGCCCCCTACAGAATCTCTTACTTGTCCAGATCAGCATGCTTGTAACTCTCCTGTGCCTTCACCAGGATCAACTTATCCCAACATTCTGTTGCCTAGCATCTGCAGAAAAACTCTTGATGAACAGGAAGTTTTTTCTGTGGACACCCAACTAGCTCCAGAATATTCAAGCACACCTATAGAATACTACAGCAACATTATAAATTATCTTGAGACCTCTGGTGCAAAATTCACACTTGCCAAGAAATTGGTGAGTGGGAACATGGCATACAGGCCAACACGCCATCATTTTTGGTGTATTGGCCAACACAACCTTTTTTAGGGAGGTGCCCGCCTAGAAAAGGGTGTGCACACCCACACACAAAAAAATGATGGCTTGCACACCCACACACCTTTTTTTTGGTGTGTGCGTGTGCGTGTGCGAAGGGGGGGGGAGTGATTATCACTCCCCAATACCTACCTATCCCAACCACAAGTGCAGTGTGGGGATTGTTTTTGGTTTTGAGCCCTTGACGGCCCATTGCAATCCATTTTTTTTGTCTTTTGGTGTGATTGGATGAGAAAAATTGTGTCATACGCATCAAAACGAGCAAAAACTCAGGAAAAATCCAATCAATAAACCCCACAGTTTGGGGGTTGTGCAAAGCAGCCCATCCCGAGTTTGGGCAGCCCCGAAATCCCGACGATAGAATGCCTTGAGGTCACGCGCGTCGAGTGGAGTAGGGTTTTCCAGGGTCCTATGTTCACAACCCATTCCCAGCTAGCAGTTGTCATCCAGCTTCTCTGTTGGCACTGAAACGGGGTTTCATTCGGTCTGCTCTCATCTTGGCCATCACACTGGGATGCTCTCCCACTTGATCGTCTCGCATTTGAGCGCAAACCTGCGCAAACATTTTCTCGCAGGTTCTTCCGGTGATGTAGAACGGATCTGGCTGGAATGATGCAGCAATGCCGAATGGGTAGGGTTGTCGGCGCCACTTTTGAAAAAGTGCGCGCCGACGGGCGCCGACCAGGTCCTCCAAAGGGGCGCGCCTTTGGCTGGCGCAGGGGCGGCGCGCCCAGGCGCCATTTTTTTTTTTCTTAATTCATAACATTATAGCTGATTATAGTAAGAAAACAAGCGGGAAAAAACATGATTTATTTGTGTAGGCCAAAAAGAAAAGGAGGAATGATCTCGATCATTGAGAAAACCACAAATCAGTCGGGTTCCAGTCGGTTTCAGCAATTGGATTGGTTTCGGTGTCTTCAATCAGCGGTGGGCCGCTACGCTTTTGGCCCAAAAAGCGTAGCGTAGCGGCGCTTTTTTTTCATTGAAAAACCGTAGTGTTAGCGGTTTTTTAGCGGGTTTTCGCTACGCTACGCTGCGCTACAGCGCTTTTAGCGGAAAAAGCGGCCAAAAACCGCTAAAAACTGCTGTAGCGCAGCGTAGTGGGCCCTTTTTTGCGGCCCACACGCGTAGCGTTAGCGGTGTCGTGGCGGAATTCCGCTACGCTACGCTAATCGCTAACAGCGATTCAGCTGCGTTACGCTACACTAACCGCTACGGTTAGTGTAGCGGCCCAGCGTTGCTTCAATTTCGATCACATCGTTATCGGGTTGCGGTGGAGCGGTTTCAAACAAATTGAAATCGAAGATTGTATCAATGAAGGCATCTTGCCTAGACGTATCCACAATGTTCGGTTCATTGGCGAAGATTCCTTCTTCGAAGGCCTCTAGTTCGGCGGGAGTGAGGAACGTATCGTAGGCAGTCATGTTTTCATATTCAGAATCATTCCGTTGAGGTGATTTTTTATTTCACAATTTTCTTTGTGACAAGAGACGATCACCTTGAAGAAGATGAAGTTTGATTTGTGACATCATCTTCAAGGTTAAGGGAGACATGCTTGGCGCCGTCGAGATTGATCGTCTCGTAGATTTGACATTAAAAACCCAGCCCATTTTGGACCATGTGACTTGGTGGGGTGAGACCATTCTGAAGATGAAGATTTGTTGTTTCGGGTGGGCGGCATGGTGGATGGTAGAAAGTTGGGCAGAGATTGGACTGGTTGAGTATTGCCCATCTTCCTTTCCAATGTCCATTCCCCAACCCATCCCCCCCCCTACCGCTACAACTTGCCCATGAGTTCCCAAATTGGAAATGTAGTGTCTGACAGGCTACAGCCTGTCAGACCAACAGTCCAATGCCCATCATTCCTGCCGGGAGAGCCGCCGGACCCTCTAGGCCGTCCCTGAAAAATTAGGGTTAGAGGTGCGCGCCACCCCACCTTTTTGGGAAAAAGTGCGCGCCCGCAGGGCGCGCACCTTCGGCGCGCACTTTGGCGCGCACCTGGGGTTGGCGCCGACAACCCTACGAATGGGAGCTCTTGAGAGCAAGTTGGCAGAATTTTACTAGCCGGTTTTCTGAATTTCTCTTGAAAACACATCGGTGTCCACCAGGTTTAAATGTGTGACAGATTGTTTTGGCCAAGCACTTCGGGCTAAATACATGTTCACATCACCCTGTCAGGACCGGCAAAGATGACGGAGCTCACCATCCATCAAGCATGGTGAATCACGTTTTCAAAGCATAAAAGGGGGACTGTCGAGAAAAGCTCAACAAATGGCAGAAAGACTCTGAAACACTCGAGACCCAGTCAAGCCCGGTCAAGCAGATTGAGAATCTAGATTACCGCGAGTTAGCTGCAGTACATTGATTCAGAGATCACACCCCGCTACGTGCATCAGTTTGATGGCATGATCCCCCCTGCCTGTCGCCGCTAACAAAGGCTATGACTTATACATACTGCTTGGCGACGTCTTCCTCGAGCGGCCTGTGAGTATCTCGAAGCTATGTATAAAAATTAAACAGGTGATCTAGAGGCTATGTGTTACTTTCCTTCCCGGCGGGAATATCTTGTTGCGCCAGAGGCTTGAGACGTTGTGAGCGTGTTTTGACTTATTTTAAGTGCTGACGGGCAGCGCTAGCGAGTGATTGCCTTCCATGGCAGCATTAGACTCAGGTGTCATCGGAAGTGTTATCATTATGTAGCGGCTCACTTCTTTTCCTGAGAGCCCAAAAGTCTATCGAGATTCGACATCGTCATGAAAATATGCTATGAGCATAGACTCTGTCGGTCCTCTGCACTTCGGCGAGTAGCGCCGAATACATAAACTTAAGAGCATCCCTAACATAGGTCGGAGAGGGTCGGAGTCTGTCGGAGTAACCATAGTTCATGAGTGATAGCTGAGTGTACGTAGTATGGTAGATTCTCACCCACCAATTCATGGATTGCATTCCTCAGTTCAAACCGAAGGTCTTGAGAGCCTTTTTCTGTTCCAAAGCTTGTTTAGGCATCACATTTGCCCTCTGAGAGCGTTCAAGAAGGGCGTTCGGCGTGAGCAAGGCATCTGCTCATTTTCCCCTACCGCTCATTGATTACTTTTTAGTCGCGCACAGAAAACACGACTCTTATGGGTGCTTGTTCCGTTCTTTCAGGGCAAATTTACTGAATCGTCACACTGTTCGCTAGGCATCCTTTTATTCCACCCAGTAGTGTCATTGTCCAACAAATTTGACCCCATTGTGCTCTATCAGGGTTCCTACAGAGCTCCCAGAGATCTAACTTCTGTCGTTCGCAAGCCAATTTCACATCTTAATTCATACACTCAAATTAATTTAAATTCAACTTGTCACTAGACGCAATGAAGCGGGGTCGCAAGCAGGACGATACTTTGCCTCCTTCTCGTAGCCGCGAGATCCAGAGGGCATTTCGCCAAAGGAGGTCGGATTATATTAAAGGTGAGTTTTCTTCCTTGGTTCGCAAGTTCAATCTGATTGGGTTAATCTGATTATTTTCCAGGGCTCGAGGCAAGAGTTCATGAACTAGAAATCGAGGTGGACGAGGTCCTAGCTCGACACAACGAACTGTTGCGCTACACGACTCCTGAGGTTGTCGCCGCTCGCTCGGCTTCGCGCAAGAAGCAGAGAAACAAGTCCAAACATAGCTTGTCCCAATTCTTGGACGTGAACCAGCCAGTCGAGGTTTACGCTCACTCCCCATCAGATCCTCTGGCACCTTTGCCCGAGAATTCCATGGTTCCTCCCTCTTCCGTTGGCTCGAATCAAAGCATGGGGTCCGATATTTCGCCTGCAACGCCCGCTCAGTATATCTTCACAGACATGAATGGCGATCCTCCCAGTGCACAGAATTTTTCCAAAGGTCCTTTTGCGCCGTTTTCGTTCGCGGGCCAGGTCGAGCACCAACATCAATATGTTTGTCGTGACAACGATTCTTCATCGATTCTGGCACGAAGAAACCAGCGTCTCCTCCATCTTTGGGACGGGGTTCCCAAGGCCAACGATCTTTCCGGCGTGTCTGCCGAATCTCCGGGTCCGCCTAGCTCCCAATTCTCTCACCCGATTTCCGCAAGCGAATATCGGTGCTCAACCTCCCAGATTGAAATGTTGATGGGGATAGAGCCGGTGGGCCAATCACCTGTCGTTTCCTCACAGCTTATGTCCTCTTTCGATTTGCATCACGAAGTCAGAGTTCCGCCTCCATCTTCTTGTTCCCTTCCATCCCTGGTAGCGGACTCATCGGTCCAGCCGGATCAACTTTCCGTCATCGGGTTTAACACTTATACATCGAATTCTGATCCGGATGCATCCCCTTACGCATTCCGGTCTCCTCATTCACAAATTTCCGATCGAATGAATCCATGTTACACTTTCATGGATTCTTCTAATAGTTCCAGTCCCAATGCTTCGGTGTACCGTCATGAAAGCCCTCTCGACGTCTTTCACCCAAGACCCTTGTCCAGTCAACACAACCAACCCAATGGAACATTATCAGATTTGATTTCTCTTGCCACGACAAAACTGGATCATTTCGAACCTCCGAAGGAATGTAGCTATCCAACTTCGAACTTGCAGCCATCCCCACCTCTAGCAGAAAGCCCCGTTTCTCCTGACTCGTTAGAAAATTCGGAGCTGTCTAATGACGATAGATCAAGCATTTCACCAGGTGAAAACCCTACCTTCGCTTAGCAGGTGCCAGACTCTTACAAAAGACCTCCTGTATGATCCACTTATAAGTTTCCTGTCCATGAAGATTTAACTCAAACTTGCCTTGTACTCTTTAAACATTTCTACAAAATTATGTTTCAAAAGATTTCCAATCTCTTAGCATGTCATTTCATCCTTGACTCCTTGACTTGTTGTTTCATTGTTATGTGCAATATCCAATAAAACTTCCTCAAGACCATTGGTAAAAATGTGACAGCCGAGATGATAGAGGCCAACGTGTGCTTCCTCCTCTTATACGCAATAGGGTGTGCCTTTGTTAGAAAAAACTGATCGGATGAATACCTGAGTTTCCTTCTGCATATTGCTTCTTATGCATAAGCTTTGACAAATCAATAAAACTAGCTTGGAGCAAAAAATTAAAAGCTGCAGATCGCAGAGAGCAAAAAAAAAAAAAGTTTTAAGAGAAGTGGGGAATCCAAATTAGGACAGTGAAATCACGACCTGCTCAGCCAAACTTGGACCAGATTTTGTTGAGCTAGGACCCCAGCAAGGCCCCTAATAGGTGGGTGTTAAGAATATCCAGATTTTAACAAGATTGATACCCGGGGGGGGGGCTGATGTCAAGAACTATCCTTGAGCAAAAACCCCCTAAGAAAAGCCATTATAAATACCTGGTGACCAGGGCTGAAATCAAAATTTCAAATAGTTTTGGGCAGTCTTGCATCCCCAAAATGGGGTTTATCATTAGTACCATTTGGGAAAACATTTTCAATTATTACTTCTTGCAGGAGTATAATTTTTAGGTTGTGGCCCATTTTGCATTCCTTTTACAACACTCAACTATTAAGGAGCTAAAATCACTGAATAGGCATGAGTTCTGCTTAAACATGAGAAGGCATTATATCCTTCAAGATTCTCCGCATGTGTTGTTTCAATGTGATCTCAAAAAAACGGGATTCTTTCAAATTGGGATTAGCGAGAAGATTGAGAGATGAATGAACTACAAATACAAGCCTTCGGGCATATTTTCTTGTTTGGTGTGAAGAACTTTCTCTCTAGCAGATCTGAAATCTTTCGCGGTCACTCTCATTCTGCGTTCGCGAAGGGCCATGAGACCCGCCTCGGTACAGACCGCCTTGATATCAGCCCCACTGAGTTCATCCTTCATCATCACAAATTCATCCAGGTCTACATCATCCGCTAAGGTCATTCGGCCAGTATGAAGCTTGAAGATGTGTCGTTTGGTCTTCACATCTGGTAGTGGGAACTCGATCTTTCGGTCAATCCGCCCTGGTCGGATCAATGCGGGATCGAGAGTCTCGATCTTGTTCGTAGCCATAATGACCTTCACGTCCCCCCGAGAATCAAATCCATCCAACTGATTCAGAAGTTCCAACATCGTTCGCTGAATTTCCCGCTCACCACCGGAATTCGAGTCGTATCTGGAAGGAGGGTCATAAGGCAAATTACGTCAACGTTGGGATTTTGAGATCTCAAACAAAGCCAATGCCTCTTACCGTTTGGTCCCAACTGCATCAATTTCATCGATAAAGACGATAGAAGGAGCGTGTTGCTCCGCCACTCTGAAAAGCTCACGGACCAACTTAGGTCCGTCACCCAAGTATTTCTGAATGAGTTCTGAACCGACGACACGGAGGAAGGTGCTAAAGAGAGACAACAATTCAAGCTCGGTTCAATGTGATGATCGAAGGTTGGTATCACTTACGCGCTTGTTTGGTGGGCAACAGCCTTGGCTAGCAGGGTCTTTCCAGTACCTGGCTGGCCATAAAGAATCACACCTTTGGGTGGCTTGATTCCCATTTCTTCGTAAAGTTCGGGATGAGTCAACGGTAGTTCGACTGATTCCTTAATCTCCATGATTTGCTGAGTGTAGAAAGAAGTGCCGTTAATCATCATGCACAGCAGAAGAAGGATGGCAGTGACGTTCTTGACTCACTTGATCGAGCCCTCCAATGTCTGCGTAGCTTTCGGTGGGTGCTTTGTCAAGCTTCATGACACTGACCATCGGATCTGTGTCGTCTCCCAAGACCCCGACAACACTCATCACCTTGTGATGCAGTAGAACACTACAGCCAGGCTCGAGTAAGTCCTTGTCCACGAATGAGAGGATGTTGACATAGTATTCGGGACCAGTAGCAGAAGAGACGATCGCATGATCGTCATCGATAATCTCTTCCAAGGTCCCTACTCCCATCGGTGAGCCACGGAGATCATCCACCTCAGACCTTTCTCGTTCAGCTTTCTCTTCTTTGGGCTTAAGCCTCTCCCTAGTAAATTCGAAATCAAGAATCAGTCAATTGCTAGCACCAACAGTTTAAGACAAAAGAAAGGAGAACTTGCTGATTGATGACGAATTCTTCTTCTAGTAGCAGATGGTCCTTAATTCTTTCCATCTTTAACAGTTTCAGTTTGCAACGAGAGGTCGGAAAGACAGTTGGGAGTTTGTTGACAGCTGAAGGTCCTCTTTTCTTCTTCGCCTTTCCGACCCGTGTTGGGAGTGGTGGCTCCCACTAAAGCCATAAACTCCAGTGTAAGAAAAAGAGAACACTAGGATCAGAGAAAGGCAGGTGGCCACATACCTTCTTTTGCATCGATTTCTTGTCCTTCCCATCCTTCCCATTTCCCGACATGTTAGATGGACCGTTGCCCTAGCAAAGCCAAATAATTGATTAGTGATACCGATATCAAACAAACAACAGTCAATGGTTGAATATTTAGGGCTCACCATGGTGGAAAATGCTTATTCGACAACGGATTGGTGTACCTCTTCCCTGTTCGATAGGATAGCTTTCAGTTTCAACTGCGATACTCTCGATGGTTTCTGCTCTCCGATGGTGTCTTGATGGTTGTTGTTGTGAAGTTATCGATCAGCAGGCAGGGTCAGCTTGGCTATGTAGTTGCGTCGGTGCTGAATGCTCTGACGTAAGCACCCCGCCCCGAACGCGCGTCGATCTATGGAGCTCGACAGAAGCCCCCCGGGGGGCCTTGGTAGGAGCAGTGGCACTGGCAGCGCCGCTGGAGGCGGGCAAGGCTTCCAAGGATGCGGCACGGGGCCCGGCCTGGAGTCTGCCATCATCTTTTTTTGCGGTTTAATACTAAATACTTAAATGTGTGGTGAAAATAAAATAAAATAACGCTTGCTTTCTGGGTACACACTGAGGCAAAAACAGTCTGTTGTTCAATTATATGTGCAATGTATCTTGACTGTGGGCCATGAAGTTCAAAAAAGAAAGGTATGCCAATTCTGTATGGGTCATTATTATGTCTCCTTAGCGAGGGAAGGGTTTTTCGATGAAGCAAGAAGGAATTTAATATTTACATAGACTATAAGGAGCCCTACAAGAGTGTAACAAATTGATACTTTTTGACCTCAATCCTACAAGTTCAAGCCTAGTCTGAATTCACAATTTAACAAGGGTCATCCAAACATCCGAGTCGCTGTAACTTACAATCTTTGCCCAGGGGCTTTGCAATTATTTTCATGCTTCTTGGACCTGGACCACTGGGGTGGATGCTGAACTAATCCAGGACAACATATCAAGTAGATCAACACAATTGACCTACCCAATATAACCAATAGGATGATTCACTTGAAGCATTACTTCTTATATATCTCTATGTACATCCCAGGAGCCATTCAAATGGGGTTTTCCAACTTGAAAAGGCCGAGAGAGAGATGTCTGGGTAAGGATTTAATTTCTGTTTGAGATTTTCTGCTTGGATTGACTTTTTCATGTTTATCTATATCATCCCCAACAGAATTGCATTTCAATGTTGATCCAGGGTATAGTTATACTGGGATGATACATTTACCCACAGAAAATAGCAAAAAGCAGACATGTCTGAGGCCAAGATTTTGCAAAACAGCAGCTACAAACAAAGGTGAATTTTTTAGCCTTCAATCTGTTATACAAGATTGGCCATACTGATTAAACTCTATTCACTTGAAATCAGATAAGATTAGGCAATTACAAAGGCAAAATGACAATATTAGGGTATCTATTACACTACTTGATTACTTTTCAAGGGGATATGATGAGCTTAAAGCCTTTGTCAAAGAACTCAAAAGCTTCCATACTGAATTGAAGGCACCAATGCAGGAGAAATTGTTTGAGCTTCATGGAGGCTCACAAATGGCATCTTTACAACCAATTACACAACTCAAGGAAGGAAATGTTAAAAGCCCAGAACTAAGTGGTAATTTCATCTATGATATAAAAAATGCCTTTTCCAAATCATTGGTTGAGTGGTGGAGAAGTATTGAACAGAATTACATCCAATTGCAAAATGGAGACCTTCGCAGTTCTAAAGGAAAGTTCTTCATGGAGTATTTGACAATCTCATTTCTTTTGGGAGATTTCCTTCAGCTATGCAACATAGGGCCACCAGATTTCCTTGAACATGTTCAACTTTTCAAATCAAAAATTCTAGCCATAGTGGTCCCACTCCATATTGAAGCTCGCAGCGGCTTGCAGAGGCCATTCACTGATCACAAGGATGAGTTGGGCAAGATTCTAATTGGGAAAATATTTTTAGACACAAATCAATTTGTAAACCTTTTCCATGAAGCTATAATCAAATGTATGTTCTCACCATTAATTTAATCTTCTTTGTCTGTAACTGTCACCATCTTGGTTAGTGTTCAAATTATTGATATTTTTGTTGTGTTTCTGATTCTTCTCTGGATACAACCTGTTCAAAACTGGTTCCAATATAGCCACCTCCCCTCAAGACATAGCTCTCTCAAAATATTATTCCTTGAAGAAAATCATGGAAAATTTGAAAGATCCATCTGATGACTTGGAAGAGGAGACTGAAAGGTTTACTAAGATCCGTGAACACTTTATCAATACCAGTTTTCTTAGTGATATCAAGAGAATTTACACAAGTCTAAGTATTACAAAAGGATGTGAATTGAAGAAAAAGATAAAAAACCAGGAAATAACTCTCACAGTAAAATTTATCCTTGAACACTTTTACAAACCTCAAGCAAAACTATCTGGAAAAAGACAAGCATTGGAGTTTCTACTAGATTACTACATTGTTGAACTTCTCAATACTAATTATCCAAAAGTCATCAATGAATTGAAGCCTGAGAAGATTGATCATCTATTCCTCCAAAATCAACTCACATTCATGGGACTGTTACTCACATTGTCTAAAGAAACGGTAGAAAGGTCCAAAGAAGCCATGTATAAATCTATCAAAAATGTCTTGGAATTTTACGATACACAGATTGGACTGCAAGAATGGATTGACAAGTTCATTGAAATCATTTCTGGGCATACCATTGAGGGGCTTCGTTTGACCAAAGAGAGGTACACATTTCAGCCAATTTTGTGAAATCCCTCTCATAAAAGTTAAAATTGACAGTAACCAATTTTCCCTCTTCCAGCATCATATGTTCTTTTTCCTCCAAAGCTTTTAAAATTTGGATGGAATGAAAACTTTGATCATTCATCATTCTTCAAATCTCATTCAAGAATTCAAAAGGAATCAATTATGACTATTTCATTACATACATAGAACTAGTCTGTTTTCTTATCTTCATTCATCACATGGAAAGAACTTGTCAGTTTTCTTATCTTCATTCTTCAAATTGAAAGAACTTTTTTGTTTTCTTATCTTCATGCATCAAATTGAATTCAGGGGAACTCAAGGATCCTCAGTTGAACTGCTTTGGACAAAACCAATCATTGGGGTTTATCATCAGTCGGCCTTTACAGTCCCCCTGGATTATTGGATTGATTTTCAACTAGGGTTGACGGCACCATAGGGTGGGGCGCGCCAAAGTGAGCCCGCCCCCCGTGCTCGCACCCGGGTCCTGAAGATCCTGAAAATGGAGGTCGGCGCGCACCTGACTTTTAACCCTACTTTTGAAGGGCCCCTGAGATATCTTGGACCGGATCCAAGGATCACACCAGATTCAGTTTTTTATGGATTTAAAATTTCCCATCTCAGTCTCTCACCACTTGGGATTATGCAGTTATGGCCTCTGACACAAGCACTATGCATTGTAGCAGAGGTCTTGCCTCTACAAAAAAAAAAAACCACTTTGAACCTTGATTTTTGAGCTTTTTTGACGGCGCCCAGCTTGCCGGGGCGCTGCCAGCCAAAGGCGCCATGCTCTGGCAGTTTGACAGGCACCCCTAAGCGCGCACCTCTTGAAAAGGTGGTGCCGTCAACCCTACTTTCAACCCTTTGGTCTTGCAAGAGGGTATGGCTTAGCATCTATTTGTGCTTTAGAGTTCCTATGCTACAGTGTTTCATTCTGGAGCTCCAACTTGGACTGTTGATGGGCACAACAGCACAGCTCGCATGGGAAATGCCACCTAACAAGGTTGCTGTGTCTCAATGAAAATACCCAAGATATTTCTAAATGTACATGCTCATCAACACATTGAAGGTTTGTTTGGCTGACCTTCATGATCAAGTTCCACTGTATACTCTTGGAATACTTCTCACAAACCTAACCATGCTTTGAGTTCACTAGGGAATGTGACCGGGTGCTTTGAATAGCGTCTATTTGCTAATGAGCGGTTAGATGGATGTAAAGAGCAGGGAAAGTTTGAAGTAAAAACCCAACCAATCGATGATGAAGAAAAAAAAATCAATCAGTGATGAAGAAAAAAAATACCAATCAATGATAAAAAAAATGAAATTGGTTGTCTTGAGTCAGGGATGTTGGGGTTTGAAACTAATGCAACGTTTGGAGGACTGAAACAACAGTTGATGAAAGAAAGCGCCCGAAGTCCTTAAGAAGAGGCCAGGAGGGAGAATCATCCATGCCACGAGTGTCCAAGGGTAAACCAGCACGATGCCAGGCATCAAACCCACCAATAATACAGTAAGCCTCGATTCCTTTGGACCTCATCACACTTGTTGCAGTCCTACAGGCAGTCCCATTTTGGCAAATGGCAATCACCTGACGACCGGCCAAAGCCCCAAGCGCTCTAAACAACTTGCCATTAGGTGGTTGGAAGCACATATCGAGTTGTCGGTGTAGTTCAGTCAGTTGAATCACACTGCTGAAGGGATTCGGATCGGCGAGTCCTAGTCCGACGTCTATTGAGACCGAGTTCAGAATTGATGATTGGTTGAATGCGAGTGGATTTCGAAAATCGAGCAGCAGAGCTTCTTTGACAGAGTCGCCGAGTCCAGAAATCATGTCGTTGGCCTCCAAAGGCTCCAACTCCCAATCAGACAAATACGGATTCAGATCGATTTTCAGCAGTTCCTACAGTTGGGACATGAGTTCAAACCAGATAATCAACGTGAAATATTCAGACAGTCTGAGGTAAGTAAAGTTATCTACCTGATTGTGAATTGGAGGAAACAATTCCGTCGAACACTTTTGAATGTACTCATCGATGTATCTTTAAATCGATCAGGACAGGTTACAAACGTAAGTCAAGCAAACAATACTATATTTGTAGTTACATCGGGCTTACTGGAATGGAAAATCACAGCATAAGAAGACGCAGGTAATTTGACCTTCTTCATCACGAAGCTCGTCCAGCGAGCCTTGTGACTTGCGACGCTCCAGCAAAGAATAAACCGCAGCCAAAGACATGCCAGATGATGGACCAACAACGATGCCCATTCGACATAACAGCATGGAATTATCATACGCCTCCCGACTTCCTATCTCAACGATTTCGTCGGTCACACCCTTCCAGGGAAAATTAACCTCTCTCATCAAGTCCAGAGTGCGTGGACCAGGAATACGCTCTCCAGGAGTGGTGAAAGCCCCCACAGCGATAATATCAGGTTTTACACTTCTCAAATAGGTAGCTGTCCCAGTCAAAGTTCCTAATAATGATAAATTATTGGACACAAGAAATTTTGTTACTCAGCTTTTTGGACAAACATCTTACATCACATGGAACATTTACCTGTAGTGCCTGCTGGTGCTGCAATTACTTTAATCTGGGGCAACTGTTTGTAGATTTGAGGACCCGTCCATCTGATGTGAGCCCCGAAATTCTAAAATTCACATGCACCTTTTGCTGATCAGCTGTGATAGCAGTCTCAAAATAAATTGTTGGCCAGTTTACTGACAGCAGGATTTTCGTATTGGTTAGGGTTGAAGCAACCGGGTTTCAAACCACACTCTTTAGCCGCTGCAATACCGCCAACAGGATCATTCATTTCGGGTTGGGCGGGGCCACCAAATACGGTGCTTGATGAATAGCCAAGATGTCAGCCAGGAAATGTGATGCGGAAGTTGCCTTCAAGGACTAATGCTTTGCATTAACAGGCCATTTGTAGATCGATAGAAACTTACAGCTCGAGACCAAACAGACGCAACATGTTAATTTTGGTTTGAGTGGTTTTGTTGCTGAGATAGATTTCAGCCCGATCAATACCCATCATTCTCGAGATAATTCCCAGCGAAAGGGCAGTCGAGCCCGAGCTAAACTCTACAATTGAGCTTGTTCGTTCATCGATTTCTTTATCGTGAAAAGCTTGTTGAATCATGTTAAGGGCTTCACAGATCATTATTTTATCAGATTTCAGCAACCGCAAGACTGGTCTCGGTGGAGTAACGTGAGCAACAGGAATCAAGGGTACACTTACCTGGCAAGGATTTCACATTGCCAGCGGGAAGAAAATTCATCATTTTGGCGTAAATCCGTACCCCATCGGCGGTGTAAGGATGGTCGGGCAGCTCGACCATCGGCGTAGGTAAGTTATGATCTGGATCATAATAGTTCAACAGTGCGTTTTTGCCAGAAAAGACCCTATTATACGTTGAGTCGGGAGACATGGATGGGTAACCAAACTTGCAAAAAGGGGGGATTGTTGGTATGCAACAGTGGGAATGATATGGGGAAGTGATGAGGAGACAATGGAAATATTGATTCGGGACACGTTCATATACCCCGAGCCACGCGCTTTGCATCAACTCGGAAGACCTTGAAAAACGGCTGGTTCTTCGTTTGTTATTGAGTTAAGCTCACTAGTGATCAATCGGTTCCAATTTCGACATGAATGGTGAAGTAGGATGAAGTGTCCTGTGCTATGGGCCCGTGTGGATGCACATCTGCTATGGATTCCCGGATTTCAGCACTTTCTGAGTGATCGTGTGTACGATATTACGCAATGCTGAGATACGTACTGCGATCGTGATACATCTCAATCGAGGTGCTGGAGCGAAATTGAAAAACACTTTGAGCTGATACGCATGATGGTATACAAAGCCACGTTGATTGAAATGACGAGTGGCCCGACAGATAAACGACCAGATTGTCTCGCGTGACGGCTTGCAGATTCCTCATTAACCGTACCACTTCAAAATTCCATCCATGCAGCTTTGCATACCAGTACATCGCAGAGTCCAGTCTGTTGATGAATGCTGCAGAGGCTCTCCTGACGGTTGTTCATAGTACAAGAAAAGGCCAGATAGCTTCGAACGTAATGAATGCTGTTTCAAATTTTGAAGTTGATTAAGGTCAAAGATAGGCCGGTGTGACTGTTGAACATCTTTTTTTGCATCATGAGCAGCTTGTTTGAGATTTTGGAGCGCCATGAATGGCGTGTTCTCTCTTGGCCGTGCGGGTACCGAAAGTTTTCATGAACGTTGATTGAATTGCGGATACGTATGCGGCAGTGGAATGGAACTCCGAGGGGGTGTAGGTAAGTCGTGGTCCGAAAAGGTGTGCCGGCGCTTGATGGGCACAAGTGAGACGTCATGTACATAAAACGGATCAAGATGTAAAAGCGATAGATCATAACGTAAAGCGATGCGCCCGGACGATCGGCCGTGTGAAAAAGATCCTGTTTGCTGTGTGACGCCGGAGCTGTGTAAATAGACCAAGATACATCCCCGAGCGGGCTGGGCAGACCAGAGGGCAGGATCTCTAGCTGATAATAGATCAAGGTCAAAGCATTAGAATTTCTTCGAAATACATGATACACCAACAGGGGGAAATGAAGTCTGACATACATACCACGATTCCAGTTGAAGTAGAAGTGGTGAACGGCGATGTGGAAGAGTTGCGCTAGGCTTGAGAGGATGATTGGGCCATCACGATTGGGTAGGTCAATCGACGGGACGACTCAACGCGAGTTCGAACGATATTTTGGCTTAACTCATAATCTGGCAATCTGGTCAGCTGGAGAAAAGTCAGTTTGGTCAGCTTAAAGGGAAGATGATGAGTGATACATACTCAGTATCTTGATTGTCCACAGCCTATGACAGGTGAGAACAAGCAAGCGAAGTGTGTTGTGATGAATTAGGGAACCTGGGGGTGGGGGACCTCACTCATACGAAAGAACGGACTGGTCTTATAGCTTTCGATAACCAGTCAACAGCAGAAATCCCTCATCCGATGTAAATGCATACATACCATGTATAAATGCATACATGGATAAATGCCGCATACATAAATGCACGCTGTGTGAGTCAATTTAGCCAAGATCATCATCAAACTGAAACAGCTCAAAGCCGCTGAGAGAAAGGATGAGAGAATATGACAACTCGATCGCACACAACAGTAACACCCTTCGTGTACGAATTCAGCTTATCAGCGTCAGCCAAGCCGGAAGCAGACCACTACATATCTAAATAACAAGCGCACTTGCCTCCCTTAGAGAAGCGGATAACCAATTAAATGTTGAGATTTGTTTCATAGTAAAACCAATGGTACTGGTCGACAAATGTCAGCAGAAGAACAATTGTAGGCGCACTGATCCAAGCTTGAGTGGTCAGTCAATTTAAGTTACTCTTGGGATTGAAAAGGATTTGTCATGTTGATTTGTCTGATAAACCTGTTTGTTTGGTGGGACTGTTTCCAGTCTAAGTCGGCTTATTCATTCCAAGCCATCCCGTTGGTTAGATTTTCTGATTGGATTAGTCTTATTCCTCTGTCAAGAACTTGAGCTACCCTGGAAGACAAAAAGGGAAGAACATTCGAAAACACACTTGAGTTGCAGGGGTCTACATATCTATGAAAGCTTGTTTGCTTGGTTATAAATTTCAGAATAATGAAATTGAGACCTCTCAGGCGATCCCCTCATAGGCATTTAATTTCTATCCATGAGCATTATCACGTTGCTGAAGCGAAAACCCATCCAAAGGTTATTAGAAACAGCTGTCCTTAAGGAGGCCACTTTTTCTTCTTTATCAGTTGAGGTATTCGGATTATCCCTTGAGCAGAGAGCTAAGCTTGATCAGAATATCTGCCACAGAGACAGATTTTATTGACACATCATCAATCTTGGATATCTTCACCCAAAAAAAATTCCAAACTCAGGTGATCTAAATAAGAAAACCTTGCAATTTTCTTCAAGGGAAACATGGAAGAAAATGAGAAACATCGCATGGCCCAGGCATTCTGACACATTGAGCGGATATCTCTTTTGGAGGATCTTTGGCAAAGTTGCAAGTTTGCGAGCTTGATTGTTCTCGCATGCATGATCTTATTTCACTAACAAATCAAATGCATGGAATCATTTTCATGACATCTCCGGAAGATTAAGACTTGCGACACATTTTCTAATCAAGGCGTTGTTTTTCTGTGGGGCGGGAGCGAGTCACTCACACTCTAATCGCATAGTCGCCCCTTAGGAGCCTTTGTGAGACTTTGTCCGGCTGAATTTGACATGGTGCAACCAAGGCATCATGCTCATTCGTATAGGGCGCAGGGAAGCTCAAATTCAATGTCATATTCACAACAGTGGTGGACTAGTGTTATGGTTCCCATCAGGACGAGATTGCTATGGCGGCGCTGATTGGTCACAGTAGGAGTACAATATTCAAGCATTGACACTCCAACAGACGAAAAAGTCCACGTTTGATCCATATTCTGACAGCCAAACACAATCCAAACCCATGTGGTGTCCACCTGCGGAGAATTACCAGCGAGGGAACTTCGCGGCGCGTCAAGCAGCGTGTGGACACTCTGGAACGAGATACTTGCCGTTAAGGTCAAGAGCTAACAGCAAGTCTCTTTTGAGCCGGAGGGGTCCAATTGCATTCCAGGACGATAGGTCGGCGCGCGGCATCACCGACTCCCGAGTCCCAACTTGTGTGACTGTGTTGATCGGTGTTGCTCTGTTATCAGAGGAGCTTCAAAGACGAGCAGAAATCATTCCAAAAAAGGTTTATTTTCATCCTACGCGGAAACATACCACCTTCCATGATACGCAAGTCTCTTTGGTATACAGGCTTCCACGGTGCTCAACCCTGTTTTTTTTCAGCGGAAAATGCCGCCAAAAGTCTCCTCACTTTTCATAAGCGGCACTTACAACTCTTGAAGCAGCGTTTGAGACTGTTGCTTAACAATTCACTCCTGAGGGTACGGCATTTGGGTATAAAAATATCGAGGACTACAGCTCAGAGCTTTGCTAGAATCAGACATCTGCTCGATTGAAACTTGCAAGTTGCACGCACTTGGTTGGTCAAGCCAAGATGTCCTCAGCTGCTCAATTACCCCGATTGCGCCCACCGACGTTCGCAGAAACGCCGCACGGTTTGCACAGCATCAGAATGTCGAAGGACGGTTCGGACTCCTTCAAAATCGAGCAAACACCTTCAGAAGAAACGCAAAATCCGGCTGACCTTGCCAGCTCGATCGGATACGCCTTATGGGATATTATCGGCTCGAAACATTTTGCTACCATCTCTGAATTCACTATTAGCTGGGACTCAGGTTTGGTGGGACGACTACCGGTGCTATTTCAGCAACTCTCACTCGAGGTTGAAGGCGACCCGGATAATCGAAGATTCATACGATTTTCTCGGGCCCGGTGGTATCAGCGACATCCCATATTTTCTTATCCTCACAAAGAAATTGCGCAAGGAGCGCTCAGCAACATAACTCATCCTGAAGATTCTTCGGCTCAATCAAATCCCGTCAGAATCCTCCAGAGTCAATTGCCGCCACCTCCCCAAACGATCTATGAGCGCTACGTAGCGGACCTGGACAGCTACTTTTGCTTGTCAATTTTCGGCGATTCGGAGCGCGAGATAGACCTATTGCACAACTGGTTAAACGATCCAAGGGTGGAAGAATACTGGAAAGATGCTGGGGATCGAGAGTTCCATGTGAAGTGGTTGAGACAACGCTACGAAGACAAGCACGTTTTGCCTGTTTTGGGATCATATCGTGGAACTAATGGCGCGGACCAGCATGCGATTGAGCCGTTTGCATATTGTAAGTTTTTCCAAGTGTCCTCGCTTGATTCCTTTTCCTCAACTCAACTGAGCCTAAGTCTTGGGTTGTACTTCGTTGCGCGCTCTCACATCACGTACAAATCGATTACAATTAGACGAAATCTACTGGGCTGCTGAGGATAAAATTGCCCGAGCCTACAGGGCAGATCCTTTTGATCGAGGCATCCACATGTTGGTTGGTTCATCAGCGCATCGAGGCCCACACCGGGTGCGCTCCTGGCTGCCTTCGTTACTGCACCATATTTTTAGCGATGATGAACGGACGCAGAGGATAGTTTCGGAACCAGATCATCGGAATCTCAAAATGATCACCTACCTCGAGGAATACGGATTCAAGAAAATGAAAGAATTCGACATGGGCCACAAGATCGCAGCAATAATGGTCATAGAGAGAAAGGCGTTTTGGGAAAATTGTCCACTCTGAAGAATGATCTGATTACGTATGTGGAAATTGTTAAAGTGTTCATTGGCTTGGTACTGATCAATAGTGAGCCCTTGATTATCTACAGATTTCAGTCCAATCATTACCCTCTCAAATGTTGTAGACGGTCTCCTGATACTTGTCTGACACTTCTCTATCAAAAACTATCGAGGGCCGCGCAATATCCCCATATAACCAACACAATAATAAACATGTCAAAGTTGATATCTCCCAAACGGCTTGGTCAAAACCAATGCCACTCTAAATGTGGAAAGAGAGAATTTTCTTCTTTCCACTGTCACAGTCACCGTCACGGTCATGCGGATGGGGCACAAAATATGATGAGAGAACTCAGCCTTATCAATGAATTTCACGTGAAATTAAAGCATGTGCTGCTGACAACACCCCAACTATTACGCGATGTTAGCCCCCTCCCCCTAAAAAATTGATGTACATAGTTGATAGCCACTTCATAAAGCTAAATTGTGCTAAATGACAGCTAACCAGCTACGCATGACAGTTGGTTAAGGGTCAGCTACAGCTAGAAATACCCATTTTTCCCAATTACTATTATAAATATGTAGGTTCAACTTCCAAGAGTAATTCTGAATACCTAGGATTTGAGAAGACTTAAATTAACTTGATTTGGGTTCAGCAAGAAATTGATTTGAGAGGTCTGTGTTGAATGGCAAAGGCTGCTTATTGTTCCATGTCATAGATGTGGCATGCTCCAACAAATTTAGTTCCCTTGCACTTGTAAGAATTTATTTAAAATTCTGCTGACTGAAACATTAAACAGTATGTTTTCTTGCACTTGGAAAAACTTGCTATAGGTTTGATTCTGTTTCTTTACATGATGATGAGTATGTATCTTCTTGGCAGTATGTCAGGGTTAGGGCCAGTACCATATGGCATGAAAATTCAATTATTCAGAATCTATCTTGCTCAAATTTTTGTTTCATCAAAACTGACCATCACCAGAAGCCAGTTGTTAGCATAAAAGTGAAGAATTTTAATGTTGGATCCCTCCAATTCTTGTCCAAATCTGTGTAGAAGGCAGAAAGAATGCCCATTTTTCAAAATCGAATCTCACGGTACCACTACTGGCCCTAAATCTTTCAGGAGCAACCATACTTCTTTCTCTAAATTCAATTCATGGATTCGAGTTTTTGGAATCACGCTTGATGATGGTGAAAAATTATCTCTTCTATTTTATAAAGAAGAACTAAAGAAGTAGTTTTGAATAAATATCTCATCACTTGAGGATTGAAAAGTCAAGAATGAAACAGCAACTGGCTTCAAGTTTAAGCCCCCCATGGTGGCAAGGTTAGGCCCCCCTAAGTCTGCTGCCGAAGATGGCATGGCTGACTCGAGCCAGGAGCAACAGCAGACTAACTTCAACCAACCAGCCAGCAAAGCCTTCGACCCTCAAGATATTAAGCCATGCCATCGTAAGTATCTCTCTACTACTTACAGATTCAGAAAATGGGCGCATGTTGACCGGCTGGAATGATCCCTGATTGTGACGGAACAGTGAGTTTGAGGACGTACTGACGAACCAACCGATCGTAATTGATAACGTGGGTATTGATCTATTTCCTCCTGGCTTAACACCTCGAAATTTCAGGGTGGTATGCTAATCTGATCGGTTATTTGGAATTTGGTCGTTATTCTCTGCTAGGGCTCTGGAACCATCAAAGCTGGATTCGCTGGTCAAGATCACCCGAAATGTTTTTTCCCATCCTAGTCAGTCTCACCCGGCTCCTGGCGAACCTACCATGGGTTTTCAGATGCTAATTATCAGGCGAAACTCCATTTCCGTTGACTTAGTGTTGGAAGGCCCAAACACGTCAGGGTGATGGCTGGATCAATAGAAGGCGACATATTTATCGGTAGAAAAGCACAAGAGCTGAAGGGACTCCTGAAAATCAACTATCCGATCGAACACGGTGTGGTTGATGATTGGGATGATATGGAACGAATATGGAATTACATTTATCAGTCTGAACTGGAAACTGCATCTGAAGAGGTCCTCAATTTCATCACCATTTTCCTCTGAATCTGGACAATGACTTACGCGCTTGATTTTCGTTTCGATGAATCGAATATCTCCACCCATCATCTCACACTCACTCGTGCCACCTTCAGCATCCGGTACTCTTGACCGAAGCCCCCTTGAATCCTTCTCATAACCGAGATCAAGCCGCCCAAATTTTTTTCGAAACTTTCAACGTCCCCGCCCTATTTACTTCAATCCAAGCCGTGTTATCACTGTAAGTGCGTCAACGTGTCGGTTCCTGCCACCTCACCCCACAAGACGCGTTCGAAGGGAAGAGCAAAATACAGTCAAGCAATGATATCCACATCATCTGACCTTGCAATATTGATATAGATATGCATCAGGTCGGACGACGGGGATCGTCTTAGATTCGGGAGATGGGGTCACACATTCGGTGCCAGTTTATGAAGGCTTCTCGATCCCACATTCGATCCGCAGGGTCGATTTGGCCGGCAGAGATATCACCAATCAGTTACAACTCCTCCTGAGAAAGGCCGGTTATAATTTCCTGACAAGTTCTGAAAAGGAGATTGTCAGAATCATGAAGGAAAAAACTTGTTATGTTGCACTGAATCCGGTCAAGGAAGAAAAAGATCACCACCACGTCGGTGGCGGCGCTTCTGGTGGGGCCAGCGGAGCGGCAGGAGGCACAGCGGGCACGGGAGTGGGCGGCGGCGGTAGTGGCGCAGGGAGTGGTGGCGGTGGTATAGGATACGGAAGAGGGGAAGATTTCAAACTACCCGACGGTAGTGTTGTTCGAGTTGAGCTACATTGTATACCCCTGAAGCACATTGATCAGATGTCTCCAGGTTGTCTAAACCTTTTATTTTCCCACAGCTTGGTCCGGAACGATTTCGGGCAACGGAAATACTGTTCAACCCTGAGTTGATCGGAGAAGAATTCCCCGGCATTCACCAAGTCGTCGTTGATTCCATCAACCGAACCGATCTGGATTTACGAAAGCATCTTTTCCATAATATTATTTTAAGTGGTGGGACCACACTGTGCAAAGGTTTTGGTGATCGGCTCCTGTTCGAAGTGAAAAAGCTAACTATGAAGGATGTCAAAGTGGGAACATTCGTTATTTTCTTGGCAACCGCCTTCCTTTTCACCAAGCTCCATCATCCATGAATCAGACCAATTCTGCTTTGACCCTGGGCTCATCCACTTACATACTTATGTTTGCTACGCTCAGATCAAGATTTATGCACCGCCCGAAAGGAAATATTCCACATGGATCGGTGGTAGTATTCTTGCTGGGCTTAACACATTTAAAAAGGTAAATGCTTCTACCAACCCAGCGGTGCAATTCTTGCCTGTTTTTGCTCCACCTTTTTTTGGGAACTGTTGGGCTGACCATGTTTGATCTTCGAAAACTAGATGTGGGTTTCTGCAGAGGAATACCAAGAAGATCCAGACATAAGTCAGTCTTATTTCGCTCTCAATTCTTTCCTCTCTGATTTATATATATATTGGTATTTCCACTGTCACATGTTATCGCCAATTTCATGCTTTAATGGACACTGGAAAATTAACTATCCGGTTTGGTTCTTCTCCGTTCCACTCATGACTCGTCTCTTTGTGCAACCATTTTACAACAAATCTGCGGTTCCCGATCATGCGCTATTTAACGTAGTTCACCGGAAGTCGTTTTGAAACTTTACAGCTTAGATTGTTGTTTTACTTTTTTCCCAAAAAATATTTATTTAAATTTGCATATTTCTTTAGCCCCTTGCGGTTTCATTGTCTCATTTTGTTGTTTCGAAAGTGTTATGACAGCGATTCTTGTGTGATTACATCCATACTTTTTTTTCTTGCATTTTCGTTTGTTCGTGGGTTTGTTTGTTTGTTTGTTGGTGTGGTCCTTTTTCTTTATCAGGATGACCGGTCATCTCTGATTAGTCGGAGACTGGAGTGGACACTCCTTGTCCATCTGACAGCAGGTCATTCTGTACCGATCAACCAGCACCGGTCCAGGAGGCGTTAACCTCCCGGGCCGGCCTGTGCTGGGCTGATCGTTATCTCTTGTGTTGACATTTTCTATGTGCTGTTTTCGTTATGCACTTCTGATTTGGCTTAACCGATAGTGATGTTTCACATTTTAGAATGTGGAAATACAGAAATCTGTATTTTAAATGGAATGAAGAATTCTGTATTTTCATTTTTCACTTTTCAATTTTCAAAAGCGTGAGCCGATTGGAGTCCCCTGAGGGCTTCCGTAGAAATCGGCCTGGTGATTTGAATGCATTCCCCCAGAAACTCTTGTTTGAATCAGAAGATTGTCTGGTAAGCTTTCATACTATGTAGCCTCGTGCGCTCATAAAAAAGCCTTCCATCTTAACCATCCCACCTGTATTTTACATCCGTAGTGTGGTTACGGAAAAAGTGTTTTACTGCATCTGCGCCGCGAAGTGCCTTCGCAGCCAACGTGCGAATGACCCGCCTAGGGGGCACTACCGCCCTCCTTGGGGAAACTTTTGAGGCTCTCATAAAGCAATCATGCTGGTGACATCGCCCACCACAACCTTTTCCTCACTCCTAACCATATCTAATAATATTCCCTCTCTCAAGGTCAAATTTGACATTTGACATTTGCATCTGCTTGCTACCCGCCTTCTCCTTCAAGATGATCAAGAACAGCCTATACTGGATGATGTTGGCAGTCAGCCATTTGTCGTCTATCGCGGCAGCCGGCCTCCCAATAATAGATCCTCAAGATTGCATCGTCAGATCGGCTACTGCCTCCGTTGTCGGTTTAGGGGTACAGGGCACCTTCCATTTCAGCCGCAAGGAAACCCAAAAGGGTATCACCACTCTGGTCAATTTTAAGGTCTCCGGCTTGAAAGATGGAGAGGAATTCGATTATTCAAGTGAGTTGATAGGAATCATTATCATTATAGAAGGTTATAAATGTTCTCTAATCCGGAGTACTTCAACAGTATACAATGATCCGATCAACGAATCCGGAAATTGCGACTCGGCGAACGGCCACTTCAACCCAACAAACTCCGCCTTACTGGGCAAGTGTCTGACCTCTCACCGAGAACAGTGTCAAGCCGGGGTAAGTGCACTTGAATGAAATATACAGCTAACTTTTTAATCATGGGACGAAGGCTTATGATATTGGCACGTTTGACAACATAGGATCTATCTGGGAAATACGGTAAACTGGTCGGCAGTAACACTGGAAGCGTCACTCAAAGATACAGCGATTCGACCTTGAAAATCTCACCATCCGAGCGAGGAATCGTGAACAAGTCCATTGTGATTGTCAATTCTGATATGCAGCGGATTGCTTGTGGTACGCATGCTATCAACATACTCTCCAGGGACTTCCAGGGCCCGCCTATCGCCTGAAATCTTTCTGACTTGTTTGCGGATTTTCACCAGGCACGATCCTTCCAGACAAGTGCTGAATGAAGCAGTCATCATGGCGACGCGATGTGTCAGGATATGGCTTGGTATGCAACACGCAAACATTTACGGACAGATTTTATCTTACTTCCTTTACCTTTCTGGATCATCGAGTGATCTTCTTGCACCAGGCTGCGTTTTGCTCCATCATAATTCCATCATAATATCATGAATTAAATTGCAATGCGCGTTTGTCGCGACATGGACATATCACGGAGGCATCAAATCTTGTGCTTGATCATCAATAAAGAAATAATACTCGCATGTGGTGGTATATCTTGTTTCTGACCCAGCTGCTAACTAGGTGGATGATTACAGTAAATAAGCTGGTATTAGACAGCATGCAACAAGAAATGACAATCTGCTTATAAATTGATGAGTGTGGACGTTAATGAGGATCAAGTGAACGAATGAGATGGACAAATGACCGATAGGTCGGGGGCTAAGATCTTAAAACATCAAATATTTCATTGTTACAACTATCTCCATAAAAACAAGAGTTAAAACGATATAATATGAGAGAGGTCAAGGAGAAAAAAACACACACAGGCAAACAAGCAAACAATTTGAATTATCAGATGGAATGCAACTTCCACCAAACGGGTTCACTCAAGGTAAATACAAGATCTATTTCTTTTCTAAAGAAAAAAAAGGCGGCGATGGAAGAAGAAGAAACATGAATCAGCATCAACAAGTACATCCAATAGTGGAAAAAGGCGTTAAACAAGAAGAAACCAATGGGTAGGACGCACTGAGGTTTTGTAACCATTTGGGAACTTTGGCACCCGACTTGAGAACATCGTCGACCTTCTGTTTTCCCTTCTCAAGCGTGTTGCCTGTCTGCTTGCTCCCTTTCTCAGCCTCAAAGGTCGGCGGCGGGGGTAGAGGCTGAGCTGCGCTCAGTAATTCCAGTATTAGCGGCGGCGGCTTGGTTGAATCTGTAACAAAATACAAAGATAAGTTCAATATTGACCACCAGTAATCGGGGCCCCAAAAACAAGTGTGGAAAAACAAACGGTTGTAAGTTTCATCGGTGAATTTAATCAGCAAGAGAGAAGACGGTGCCAGTTGAAGATCCAGCAGATTACTCGACCGAGTCTTCGGATCTGTCAACAGGAATTCACGCCGAGGGGGAGTTTGATCTGTTATATAGAAATATACATCATTAGTTTCCAAGGATGAAAGAATTGATGAGGATTTCTGTCAAATGTGATCGTGAGATTGATTTGATGACTTGCAAAGTATGAATGGTTTGGTCCGGACATCTTCCAGTAGCGATTCCTTGACAAACTGATAAACATCTGATATTTTACATGTGCTGGGTAATGAGCCTTCCAGCATCGAGCGATCTCCAAATTTGATTCTGACCCGGGTCTGGAAATACAAATACATAAAAATAAACGATCAGCGCAAAGAACTTTATTTTTTTCGAAGCGTGATTTAAAATAGCTCAAAAGAGAACGTTGATTAATGATAAAAAAAAAGGACAAACAATTGGGAACCGAGCCAGTTTCTCGTTTTTCTTTTGATTCTGTTCTCGTTCTCTGAGCGATTTGGTGAGCATTGGCGCGTCCGTTAGTTTTTCCCTGCTAGCCACTTGTCCGGAGAAGGCCCTCTGAGCTTCGGCAGCGGTAGGGATAAAATACTCGTCTCCAAGGACTACAAAAAAACACGAATGGTTCAAAAAAAAGGGAAAACGAATTAGTGATAATCCGATTCAAGAATTCTGTTTGTGTGAGTATTATTATTCCTACCTGGACGTGGAGCTGGCTGAGCGTTTTCTGAAGGGAGCCATATTTTGATTTCCTTTGCGAGATGGTTGGATGGATGAGAGGTGACGGCAGAAGGGGTTGAGGTTTTGGAGTCTGGGGCGGCTGAGGGACTCGGTTCGCGGATAGGTTCCGAGGATGGTAGTAGGCTCTGCTTGCTTTCTTCCTCCATGGTTGAGATTATCGTTCAGTGGTGTGGTACTTCAGCGGGTGCTTGTCCAGCTGGAATGTTTTCCGAAGGTGCCTTTATCACGAAAGGGGGCTGCCGGGACACCCGAGCTTCACAGCTTCCCCCGCTTTATGCTCGGGGCCCACGACTACATATGGATCACAGCGGGGGAGCTGCACCATTGTGCACCCCTCGGGGGCTTGGGACCTAAGTCAGTTTTTTGACTTTTTGGTGGTGGCAAAGTTACCTCCACTATCATCCCACCTCCTGGAATTTTTGATGCCCTGTTGGGCCATTGGAACGGCATGGATTGATCTTGTCTTCCATCTAGCAAAACTTGGGCATATCCTTGGCTTCTTGACCCATCCAAAAAGCCTCTCAAACTTCAAGATTTCTAGGATCCACATCATCTGTAAATCCAAATACAGGATTATACAGGTGACCACATCCAAGAAATCATCAAATTTTCAAAGCTTATTGGATTTCAAGGAAACCCAAGAGCAGGTCCAGTTTTTGATGGATGGTAGGCAAGATCCACACAATTCTATTGGTCCAACAGGGCATCAATTTTTTCAAGAGGATAGTTGGATGGTCATGTAGGGAAGTGTTCCACCACCAAAATTTCCAAAGCTCTCAGGTCAAAGAGCTGACTTGAGTCAAAAGATCCTCCTTTGAAGGCTTGCTTTGCAAGGTCTTGACACACCTCCAAGATCAAAAGGCTTGTGTTAAGCTAGCTAAATTGCAGGGTTGAGTGCACCTGTGAACAACCCCCAGCACCCACTGCTGAAACCCCAGCCTCACGCACAGGAGAAGATTTAGAGGTTTGTTTCAGGTGTGAAGTCTATAGATCTAGTTATGTGAATACCATGAAATACATGGAATTCAACTCATGTCTTCCTTGTAAGTGTTTATTGACATCAAGTCCCCCTCTCCAAATTTGACTTGATATGTATTAGGGAACCATTTAACCCTGAATAATGCAACACTTTTTTTCAACTTGTTTCCTGATTATTCTTGTTCCACTCATCCAAAATGGTTGGTCCCATTGGCCAATGTTTCTTTTTGGCAATACTGTACATAATCACTCCTCAGTGGTGTACTCACTATTGGCCTCATACATTTTTCTCCCTCATCTGACATGCTATTCCTTAAGAACAGATCAAAATATCAGCTGTTCCTAATCCTTATCAAATCAATGAGCCACAATTGAAGGGCAGACCAAAAAAACTTAACTTTGTGCTTGCCAGGATTATTTTTAGTATTGCACTGGTTGGTGAGAATCATCAAATAAAGAATCATCTGAACCATAGTCAGATCAGTTGAATATGAGAAATAAATAAGTAGGAGAATTCATGTAACTACAACTTTAATAAAACACTGGAAAGCAACAAAACGGATTGGGGATACATGTTGATAAGAACAATGTGGGACCTGTCAGCATACTTAAGACTCAAACTGACAGGTCCCAGCCAAAATTGTGGAATATGCAGGATTATACCAATTAGTGAAAAAATATTTAGGGAATTTTGAACACTCTATATATCTGTCCTTGTTTGGCACTCTGCCTACCCAGCTTGATGAGTATTAACAATATGGAAATTTTTTGAGACATTTCATAATGTGTTACAAATTCATCAGACTTGTACAAGTGATACAGAACTGGTCCCAAAGAATGAATGTGAAAAAATAACAACAAAAAACAGAGTTTTAACACTTGAGAAAAAAAATAAAATTGATTTTTTTCAAAAGCTTCAATATTTTCATTTTGGTGGAGTGGGAGTGCTGAGAGAAAGAAAGAACGGAAAATTTTAAGAATGATTATAAATGAAAAAATTGGAACCAAAAACGTTTGAGCCATGTTGGTTGTTCAGATTAGAGTCAAAACAGTAAATTCTAGTGCTTTACTCCAAGGTGGGCTTGTGAATTCCCCAAAGAAGCCACCTTTCACTGTGTAGCCACTGTACATGAAATAGACATTCTGGTATATTCTAAGAATGCCCCCAAGGGGGGCTCTAGAATATAAAGGGAGGCCATTTCTGCCCTAAGATTGGTTCCTCAACATATTCACCCCCATTACACTTAGTAAATACAGTGTATATTCTCCTCCTACTTTTAGGGTAGTGATGAAATTTTGACCGATGAAGGACAATTTTTTAAGGAGAAATTTTGGCAACAAACATTGGTTTTTGTCGGAACGGCTCAAAGGGTCGAAAAATGAAGGAGAGAACCAATGATGTTTTACTTAGAAGAGACCAGGCGTTAAGTAGTCTACGTACAAGAGGTTAAACATGTGGGTGAGAAAAAATGAATATAAAAATGAATAGTAATTTTAAACATATGCATGAAAAGATGACAGGAGCAAAAACTTGTTGATAAAGACTAGACCCAGGTTCAAAGACTACAGGGATTTCAGCACTAGACAAGAGAAATATATGGCACTCAGACACTTACAAAACAAAGTAAAATTAATACTATTTCATCTAGACATCAGTAAAATAACAAGGTTGAATAGATGAGTTTTTTAGGAATGAGAAGAAAAGAGACAAAATTTCAACAGGTAGTTTATCCCAATGCTAACCAACCTTCTAATACTGAAATTTTTAGTGTGTAAGTTTGAAATTCCCCTTTCATCCCTCACTAACATCACTTATAAATCAGTTGCTGAAATAAAATAACCTCTGAAAAGTAGATAATCAGCTCAAGTGCTGGCCAGCTGCTTCTTAGATTTTCAAGCTGTAAAAATTTGTTAATTGGTATGATCTCCTTTTATTTTTCATTCAAAAAAATTAAGTTAAACTTTGTGGATATTTGGACCACATGTAAAGGGTGAAAAAGAGTTTTTTTTCTTTATTAGTGCATGAAGTCAAGTGAGCCCAGAAACTGTTGAATCAGACTAAATGGCAACAATTAAGTTGCAGAAAATTTCCATACTTTTTTATCAAAGTTGTCTCAGATAGTTTCAGATGTTTATTTTTGCATTCAGCATCCCCTCCATAGGTAAGTCTTTGTAAATCAGCTTTCATTTTCACAATGGGGACCCATTCTGCCTCATGCTTCCAGTTGCTGTTGAAAGTAATGGCAATATTGTTCAACTGAATTGAAAAGCTACAAAGAAAATGGCCAAGCAATGGTGGGTAATGCGGTAGGTGTAGCAGTAACATAACAGTTTTTTGACCAATATTGCTACCATTAACCGTAACAGGTAAGTTTTTGCAATACCCTGATTTCTCTTTATTTGCTTTTTTGACTATCTATTTGCAAAAAAGGGGTATTCCAGATGTAAAGGAGAGCCTTCTAGCTCTTTTGGGATAGTTTGGCCTTCAACAATGCAGTGTGAGAACTCTTTTGGGAATGGTGGCAGTCCTGTGAGGGGGAAATAGCAGATGAGATATATCACATATGTAATGATCTACTACAACTGTTACAGCTGGTTTGAAAGACCTGCCCCTCTATTACTACACAAGAGTTAACAAAACAATTTATTTATTGTTGTGGCAAAGCTGATGATAGAGAAAACTATGTGTAGCAGTCTCTTATCAAACCTAGATCAATGTGGATTCAGCAGGCTATTTGAGTGAAATTGTTGAGTAAGAGGTGTTTTTTTATATGTTTATGTATTTTGAAAAATGATTGACGACGTATTTAATGATAATGAATGAGAATTTATGAGATAATACTGAGGAAAAATGTGCCTATTCAAAGTGTCTTTCCCTTCTTGCTTAGCCTTGGTTGGGAGCACAATAGTTTAAGATCACTTTCTCTTGTTTTAAATTTTATGAGCACAAGTTGCACTGGTTGTTAATTTCCTTTTTCTATGCTTGTCATGGTATGAAAGATCTCAATGGGGCACTTTGAGTGAGATCACACTGGTTGATGTATGGATTGATTGCTCTGTTCTCTCTGGTTGCTGATCAGATGAGATGATGATCTTATGTGATGAGATGATCAAAAAGTTGGAATGAGGGGGGGAAAAGCCCTCCAGCCATCCTTAAATAGTCTATTTTGCAACCTGGCTGACTTGTTGTTCTAGCCCTTGGGCCTAACCTATAATCTCTGGTTCTAGCCCTAACGTGTAGACATGTAATGGCCAGCTTGTGGTTCTAGCCCTAACAAATAATGAATATACATCTCAAATTATGGCCAAATTGTGGTTTCCTGCTATACAAAATTCTCAGTGTACATACAAACAATGTGGCCAACTTGTGGTTACACTATGCAATGAATGTTGAATATGTAAACAAACCAAGGCAAACTTGTGGGTTTAAATTATGCAATAAGCATTTAGTATGCGGGGGTTGATAAGCGCACGCCAACCCCCATGGCGCACGCCAAACCACACG